TTAAGATAGAAAATTTGGGTTGGGTATAAAACAACATGTGTGTACATCCTTTTGCCAATCATGCTACAGTTTAAATGCCTGTCTACACAGATTATTTGAACAGATTTTTTTAAAATAGATTTATTTGTTTATGTATACGGCATTCTACCTGCATGCCTGCATGACAGAAGAGGGCATCAGGTCCCACTATAGGTGGTTGTGAGCCACCATGTGGTTGCTGGGAATTGAACTCAGGACCTATGGAAGAACAGCTAGTGCTCTTAACCCATGAGCCATCTCTCCAGCCCCATTTGAATTTTTTTTTGTGGTGCTAGAGACAGAGCCCAATGCCTTGTGTGCTAAGCGAATACTTTATCTCTGTGCCACATGCTTAGATTACCAAGTTTGACTCACAGTGATTTTGGGAGGTGAGAGCAGAGGACTAAGACCCCATTTCTATGAAGGCAAAGCTGGTCCAAGTTTTCTGACTCCAAACCCAGTGCTTTTGTTAGGCTTGGTGATGAGATCTAAGAGCAGGCATCTGGGCTTTGAAGCTAGAAGTCCTGTCTAAAGTGCAACTGTGCTTCCTGTCATAGTCTCCAGGCCCTGTCTGTTCTTTATTGTCTGCAGATGGTCAGGGAAAGGCTAGTGTGTGTGTGTGTGGGGGGGGTAGGTGTGTGTAAGTGAATATGAAATTTACAAAGTCAAGTAGCAGTTGTCTTTGTTCATCTTCTGTCGCTATTAAAAAAAAATATCCGCGTCTCAGTCATGTATAAAAGATTGGAATTTCTTTAGCTCACAGTGCTAGGGTCTGGGGAGTTCAACAGCATGATGCTGGCATCTGTGTCACGTGCTTGAAATGGAATCCCTCAGGTTCATATGTTGATGGTGTTTTGGTGATGGGGCCTGGCGAGGGCATCCTTTCTGCGTTACAACATGACAGAGAGGCGTCACCCGGCAAGACTGGATGTATGTACCACAAAGGGCTGCCTTGACAGTACTCACTCCTTCAATAGCCTGTCAACCCACTATGAGTAGATTAATCACATCCCTTAGGTCCCATCTCCAAAAGCCACCAACACAAGAACCCTACAGAGGCAGTTTCCAACACATGAAATTCAGCTCCAGTGCCTGAGGTTTTCAGACATGTTTCTGATTCTGTGATGAACGCGGCTCACCTGTCTTTTTAAGGGAGTCGCCATAAGCTTAAGTACCTGGATGCCTGACGAAGTGAACACGTGATTAGGCCTTGTTTGAGGTAACAGAGCTCAGGCTTACTTAACTGCGGTTATGAGCATGCCACCCATTCACATATAACAGTACATTGTAGCTTTTGGAAACATCAGCTCAGGAGTAATCAACCAGTTTAGTGTAGGTAACTGAACCTAGAAAAAGACCTTTATTTGTTTACTTTAATTGAACTGTATTTTATGTATATATGATGCATGTGTGTGCACCAGTGCATGTGTATGTATGCACGCAGAGGCCTTATGTCTGTGTACCATGTGTGTAACTGGTGCCCAGGGAGATCAGAAGAGAACACTGGATTTCCTGAAACTGGAGTTATGGATTGCTGTGGGTGATGGGAATTGAACTCAGGTCTTCTGCAAGAACATGTTTTGTGAATCAGGGTCTCTCACTGAACTTGGAGCTCATTAATTTGGCTAGAAACCCTGGCCAGTGCTTCCCAGGGATCCTCCTGTCTCTGAGGCCACAGCCTGGAGGCTGCAGATGTGTGCTCTTGTAGCTGGCTCTCATGTGGGTGCCAGAGAACCAAACCAAGGTTTTCCTGCTTTTGCAGCTAGTACCGACTGACTGAGCCATGTCTTCAGACCTAGAAAACATAGGTCTTGCTGTTACTCCATCAGTTGGATCTATAATTATGGGCATATTATTTTAACTTCCTTAGACTCCAGCTTTCCCATGTATAAAATTACAGGACTTCGATCTGAAGACTTTGCCTCTGAAAATCCATCACTCTATCTCCTTGGCCTTAAACCTAGTGTGACATCCTGGATATCACTGAATGCGTGTTGTGTCTCCAACTCTGTAGCCAAGCCTCACCTGCTCATCTTTGCAAACGAATGTGCTGAATATCATTGCTATCTCTTCCACTATGTTTCTGGTACCTAAACATTTTCCCAATCAGGAAAAAATTTAAATGTAAACCTAGGGAGATGCATGCAAAAGGACCAGCTGTGAAACCTGAGCACCCGAGTTGGATCTTAGACCCCAGGAAAATGTGGAAGGAGGAAACCGACTCCACAAGTGATGTTCTGATCGCCATGTGTGGTACTACGCACCTGCTCCGCTCCCACACCATGCACTACACAGAAAGACAAGACAGGCAGGCAGACAGACAGACAGACAGACATGCACAGGCAGACACGCAGGCACACAGACAGACACACAAACACACACAGACATACAGACAGACACAGACACATAGACATACATGCAGACATACACAAGCAGACACAGACACATAGATAGGCACACACACACACACATAGATTAAAAAAAAAAACAAAAACCAAAGCCCTAATGGATGGGTCTGTTTTCTCCTTGCATAACGTCTTAAGCCCAGCCACTCATCCCTTCTTGAACTCCCAGCTCAAAACCACCTGCTGTTTATTTTAAGTACTGCGCTCTTTAACTAGCGTATTTTTCGTATATTGTCACACCGTTCCCCTTTAATGGACCTTTCCTGCCTTGAAGAAAACATTTCCCGGAGGACGCTTTGGGGCTTATTGAAAGCCATTCTGTTGTGGTAATTCCTCTTTACCCAGAATGTGTCGTTCAATATTTACTCAAGATGTTTGCATATTCTATACCGTTGGCTATTTCCTTAGTTGCTGTACTCCTCAGGTGCCTAGTTATCTTGGCTCAGAGTCACTTCTCCCGAGGAGTGTCCTTGTCATGTGATCCAGGCCAGGGATAAAGAGCTGGCCCCAGTCAGTGTCCTCCTGTGAACTCAAGAGACAGGAGAGAACCACAAGCATCACTAAGCAGTGCTCTGCAGCGCCATTGCCATCCGGGCATCACGCAGCTCTGGGGCGAAGAGACCACAGACTGCAACATGCTAGCTGTGGGTGTGTGGAGGGCTGGAAGAATGGATGTCTGAGGCTGCCCAGTTAGGACATGCCTGTTTTTATCACTGCCTTTCTCGTGGGGCTCTGGTATCCCTTTGAAAGGACTACAGAGATCCCAGGTGACTTGAGCTGTTCTCCACACCAGCAGCTGTGGTCCGCTGGCTTCAGTTCCTCTGTGGCTCCTGCCTCACCTCCGGGCCACCTGTCCCTGCAGGGGCGTCTCATGGATTTCACACATCTCCCATTTCTCCAGGGTTGAATTTAAGAGCAAGAGAAGAAATAGCTTGTGCTGATTGCCTTCTTGCGTAAGGCCTCTATAGTAAGGGATGGCAGTGGCCACACTCATAATCCTGCCCAAACTGGTTCTTCAATTATTTTGTACTTAGTAGCTCTTTTAAAAATAAGTCATGGAACGATGACAGTTGGCGGGTGATTTTGGAGTTCCTCCAATGACAGCTTTTCTAATTGTAGCATTTCCTTGTTTTACTGCAAAGAAAAACCTCTGCTCATCAACTGAGAACGGTAAGTGTAAGAAGGCATGGGATGTAGGATAGATGTTCAGTTGTCCCTCTAGTTGCATTTTACCAGAGTAAGGACTTAATGTAATAGTCACGTCTAGCAGTGACAAAGATCTTAATATTTTTAATGGGCCCATATGGACTCACAGGACTTTTTTAAAATCACAATCATCTTCAGCACTTTTCCATACCCTGTTTAAATCACAAGTTTGGCTAGTGGAGCAGTTGGTGTCTGTAACTGGGGCACCATCCCTTCTCCCCATTCATCTTCAGTTGTTCCTTTGCTGTCCAACTCAACAACATCCTGGACATACCTTCTGTCCTCCCTGCCTTTGATGTCTGATTAGCTATTTCCCCGTGATGCCCTAGCTCCCTTAGGGGAGTGGCATTGGTGGATGAAGGTCTGGTTGCCTGTTGCTGCTGGCAGATCTTTACTCCCAGACCTCATCGAGGACCGTTTCTCTGAACTCCCCATCCATATCGATATCTCCAATTTCTACTTTCCCATTCCAGCCTTTCTTTAAAGAGTCCTGTGGGTTGCTGCAAGTTTTTAGCTAATATCAAAAGTTTTGAAAAAGAATTGGTTTTGACATTTTTTTGATGGAGTCAATTTTTAATCTTGAGTTTTACAGGGGTGATAATTCTTTTCAACTTCCCTCTGCCATCATCCACTGTTAGATGGGGTTAGTACCTCCCTTTCAAGGCTGTTGTGTAAATAAAACGAGGTACCAAAGGTAGTTTCTATTCTCTCTCAGTCTCTCAGTCTCTCTTTCTCTCCCTCCCTCCCTCCCTCCCTCCCTCCCTCCCTCCCTCCCTCCCTCCCTCCCTCCCTCCCTCTCTCTCTCTCTCTCTCTCTCTCTCTCTCAGATTTTCAAGACAGGGTTTCTTTGTGAAACAGTTCTGACATCCTGGAACTCGCTCTGTAGACCAGGCTGGCCTCGGACTCACAGAGATCCGCCTGCCTCTGCCTCCTGCGTGCTGTGATTAAAGGTGTGCACCACCACTGCCCAGCTGTTTCTATGCTTTTTTTTGTCATAAGACAAACAAACAAACAAACAAATCCATCAAAAACTACCCCCATCCAAGCCCAAACCTAAAAACCAAACCACCCCCTAAAACCAGCAAAAACCATTGTTCTAGAATTAGACTATAATCATTCATTAAATGCATGTCTTTGTGTCCCATGTGCTAGAGTAAAAAGTGCATGCCACCATGGCAGGCAAAAACCAAACGAAAACAAAACAAGACAGATTATGGGATCAAACTCAGATCCCCATGCTTGCAAGTCAAACAGTTTACTGCCTGGGCCAAATTTTTGTGGTTTGGCCACTCCTTCCCTTCCTTCTCTTGCCCTCCCCTCCCCTCCCCTTCCCTCCAGTGAAGACCTAATCACTTTCTTCTTCCTTCCTAGGACGTTTATTTACTCCTTGCTCACCAGAGGGAGGCCTTTCCCTGTGATGCTGTTTCTGAGAGCGATTGCCTTCTGCATCGGAAATGGATTTCTTCAAGCCTACTATCTGATTTACTGCGCAGAATATCCCAAGGAGTGGTACACAGATGTCAGGTTTAGCGTGGGTAAGTGACACTGACTCTGTCTCCTACCTTCCTTCCCAGCTAGAGTCAGTCCACAGTGGCACTCCCCATCTTCTCTTCTCATCCTAGGGCAGCCTCCTCACCAACTCATGCCCCTCCTCGGGTCTTCTCCCAGAAGGCAGCCGGGGAGAATGTTTAAGTGTGCCAGGGCTGGAGAGGTGGCTCACTGGTTAAGAGTCCTGGCTGCTCTTCCAGAGGACCTGGGTTCAATTTCCAGCACCCACATGGTAGCTTATAACTAACTACAATTAGGGGAATCTAACACCCTCACACAGTCAGTCATGAATGCAGACAAAGCACTAATGCACATAAAATAAATGAAATCTTTAGGCTGGGGCAGTGGTGAGTGTCCCAGCACTCGGGAGGCAGAGGCAGGTGCATCTCTGTGAATTCGAGGCCAGCCTGGTTTACAGGGTGAGTTCCAGGACAGGCTCCAAAGCTACACAGAGAAACCCTGTCTCAAAAAAAAGTGTCATACCATCTCCCATCTTAAGATGGTCCAATAGATTTCTACTGCTCCTATGATACCAACAGGCTCCCCTGCCTATAAAACTCAAATGTTTGGATCTTTCTGACTTAGCGGTTATTCCTGCTCACATTCACCCCGTTGTCTGTGCTAGCTCCAGGGGCCTTGTTGCTGGGATTGAAATCATCAAGCCTGTTTGGTCCCAGCGCTTCTGTCCAGGATGCTCCCGGGTCCTAGGCTGTTCTGCCTCACTGAGCTCCTAGGGTTGTCCCTCTTCCTTGCTTTATTGGTCTCTCTACCAATTCACCCGTCCTCAAGGAGGCTTTCCCAGAACACCCTACCTGAAATAATTGAAGGACTTCAAAAAGTCCTCCTGTTTTCTGTGGAAGAGGGGTTAGAAAGAGTGCAAGCGACAGAGAGGATGGGGAACACCAAGAAAACAACAGCAGCCAAGCTCACGGGCTCTCAGAGGCTGAAGCGGCATCCACAGGGCCTGCGCGGGTCTGCACCAGGCCCGCAGGGCTTTTATTATGGCTTCCAATTCAGTGTTTTTAATGGGACTCTCGAGTGCCCGAACAAGCGGGGTCTCTGACTCCTGTGCCTTCTCTTGGGTTCCTTTCCTTCTGTGGGTTTGTCTTGTCCAACTTCAGTGTGATAGTTTGTGTTTTGTCTTATTGTACTTTATTATATTTTAAAAATGAATATATGAATAAATGAGTGAAAACTAAGCAACTAGGGTAAAGGTTAACAACTGAACTGTCATTTCTATCTGCCAGGAGAGGGGAAGTCAGTTTTCTTCAATGCTGTGACACTCCATTGTCACCACTGCCCAGCCCAAAGGTTTTATTTATTTTATGTACATTGGAGCTTTGCTTGCATTCATGACTGTGTGAGGGTGTTAGATCCTGGGAGTATATTTACTCCAGGACAGGACTCACGTTCAGGAGAAGCTGATCAACAAATAATGGACTCCACAGTGTTCTTTTCTTTTATTTGGTTTTTCGAGACAGGGAGTATCTAAGGAAGTTAGGTCATTTTAGATATGATTGATTTCAGCAAGTGGCAATCATATTAGTACGTTCTAAGAGGCTGGGGCTAGCCAGGCGCTGGTCAGGGCTACAGTTTTCCGTTTTTGGGCAGGCCTGGAATCAGACTCTGTGCTTGAGCTGCTGTGGAGGCTGACTCTGCCTGGTCAGGCCTCCTCATTGCTTATTCTGTCTCAGGAAGTAAGTCTATGTTTAGAAGATAACCAAAAGAAATCTAGAAACCAAGAAGTAAGCAGTCATTGCTCTACTAGCTCATTAGAACTCTAGTCATGTTAAGCCCTGAACTTTTGAAGTATGACAATATCATGGAAGGGGAAAGAAATATGAAGTATTTTAATAAACCTTAAGTTATTTTTTGTATCTTTATAAATTGTATTAATACTTTAAAAGATATTTTAGACCATCATAACCCAAGGCTTTATGTTTTCAGACCCTTAGAATTTAGACTTTTACATTTTTATTTAATTATTTATCAGAAATATAAGCAGTTATTATTAAGAACAGCCATTTTGGGTTATCTCTTAATATGAAGGCTGTGAGTAAGGCAAACCTGTTTGTCTCTTTTGTTTTTATTAAGAGACCAAGAAACTTATTAGCTTTAACTAGCTAATGTATTGATCAATGTGGTTGCAACCTTGTAGAAGCTCTGGTTGTCTGTTGTTGTTATGATGACAAAGTTATAGCTAGCCTGGTCATCAATACCATCAGAGATCTGATAAGGGTAGTTCTGTCTGAGTGTAGACTGAGCAGTTTTTAAATTTATTAAAAAACGACAGAGACTGTCTGCAACCCAGGTCCCTGCAGTCTCATAGCATTGGCAGGACAACAGCAAATCCTCAGCCTCCAGACTCACAAGGCAAGAGTTTTCCTGGGGAAACTGACCTCACAAGTCAGTGTCTCACTTGTCCACAGTCTGGGCTGGATTCTGGCAGCAGGTGTTGAGTTGGGGTCATCTTTCCCTGTGGTCAGTGTTGTTAAGAATCCAGGTGTCATCATGGCGTTGTTTTATGGTCTTCTTTGGAGACCTTGGGAACCATTGCTAGGAGCTAGGAGTCTCTGTCAAAGTAAGCTTTTTAATCAAATAATTCAAGTGCCATGTTTATCAGATCTTCCACAGGTTTGAGGACCATCATCTATTAAATATATCTGAGTTAAAAAATTTAGACCTAATCTTGAAAACCCAAGTTTGGTAACAACAACCAGGCATTATGTTATCTTGTAGACATATTAGTCGAATGGACCTCTCAGGTCGTGTTTTTTTCTCTGATAAGTATTTTTTATAGAGATTATAGGAGCAGTGAGACAGCAACTTTTATTTACAGACCACAGATGTGATGTTGACATTTTTTAAGAAACAGGTTTGAATTTCTCTGTGAAACTCCAAAGAGTTAAGAGCTTTAGCTCTGTCGTTTCATAGGAAGTCAATTATATAGAACTCAGGGGACTGCAATATGGTGATTAATTATTACCTTGTATACCTTTAAAGAGCATGGTCCCATTTTAACATAAATGTTCTGTAGCAGAGAATCACCCAGTTTTTTTTTTTAATGAAGACAATCAGTCAGAATTAACCTAATATGGCTAATTCTCCAACATACTTCCTGGCGTCCTTTTAAACTTGGTATTGTTCACATCCCCTATTTCCTTATACAACCTCTCCTGAGGTCAGACTTTTCCTGTCTTTGCTCCTCTGGTTCAGCCAGACGTAGACAAATGTTTTTCATTTTAGTCTCATCTTTTTTTTTCTTTTTCACCTTCTGGACAACATATACATTTCCATCAAAGTCTTTTTCTGTGATTTTTCAGCAGTCCAGAACATTGCATAGGTACAACAAGAGCATAAGTGCATGTATGATGTATGTATGTATGTATGTACGGATGTATGTATCATAGTAGGAGTAACTTAAATATGTATCAACGTATGAAACCTGTACCAATGTGAAACAATTGAGACTAGCAGCAGTTTTTAAAAATCTTAACCAATAATAATTTGTAACCAATTGAATCTAAATGACCAAAACCGATGTATTTTTATTTTAAAGTTAAAGTTTTAACCATTTTTTGACTGCAAGCTAGCAGCTGGCCAGCAGCCAAGACTACACCCTGACTTGTTATCACAGTGGAGAATTTGGCTTAGGGAGGTAGGGCACAGTGTGCTCTTGGGAGTCCTGAAAACGATGTTAACCCCTCCAGCCAAACCCCAGATTCCCTGTTCTGTGTTTGCGCAGTTTACCAACTGAAGGCAGTCAACTCCCCACCGCCCGGTTCGCATGAGCCGTCCAAGTGAGCATGAGTGTGATTAGTTTTCTTCATTAAAAAAACAAAAACAAAAAACAAACAAAAACCTGGTGATTCTTTGCTGCAGAACTCTCACGTTAAAAATGGGATCATTCTCTTTAAAGGTGTCCAAGTTAATAATTGATCATCCTATTGCAGCGCTCTGGGAGGCTGCTGGCTGGCTGCAGGCCTCTCCTGTAGGCTAAGCCAAATCCCACCAGCACTGTGGGCTACCCTGCATCCCTGTCCCTGCCCCCTGCACGAGTTGTAGCTGGCTGAGGGCCAGAGGACGAGAGAACAGCAGAGGGAGAAGGCCCTTGCCATGTCTCTCCCTCTCTAGGAAAATGAGGGAGGCTAGAAACAAGTCACAGTGACACAGACGACAACGGACCGACGCTGAGATGACAGCCTCGCTCTCGGTCAGTGAGCCCGTCTAGCAGATGGCCTCTCCTGCAGTAAGCAAGCCCCTCTTGGCAGGAGCTACCTGCTTACAAGCTTTTCAGAGACACGAACACATGGGGCAGAGCAGCAACATAATAATTGTCAGACCGAGACAAAAACAAAGAGCACTCATTCACCTACCGGCCTCTCAGAAACTAGGGGGGTGCAGTCCCCACCCTCCACAGGTCTCCAGACCCTGCTGCAGAGTTCGGAAACCTCCGAGACCCTCCGGCGTGTCTGCTAGGTCTTAAGCGGGCTTCACAGATTACAGATGGAGCCACAAAGAGAAGCCAGATACAGATACACAGAAACCAAACGCCCAGGCAAGTTACCTGATGTTTGGTGCCCCAAGACTCAATGGAGGGGTAGCCATGGTGATCGTGGGGGATTTTGGTAGAGCCTTCAATGTCGTGTGCTGAGTCCAGATTCCCAAAGACCACCAAGACACCAGATTCAATACAAAAGCAAAGAGTCTTTTTTTTTATTATTCCAGCATGCTGGGGCTGACCATCCTACACAAAGAAAGGCAAGATGGCTACCACCCCAAGAAGGAGGTGGGGGCTTCTTTTAAACTTTACTGAGGGGAGTGCCTAAGGAAGTTAGGTCGTTTTAGATAAGATTGGTTTCGGCAACTGCCAATCATATTAGTATGTCCTGTTTGACTGGGGCTAGCCAGGGGCTGGTCAGGGCTACAGTTTTCCGTTTTTGGGCATGCCTGGGGTCAGGCCCTGTCCTTGAGCTGCTGTGGAGGCTGGCTCTGCCTGGCCTAGCCTAGTCCTGCGTGCATCAGGCCTCCTCCTTGCTGTTGAGGATATGGGACATCTGAGGGGACTGGAGTGGGGCCTGAAAAGGGTGTGGTGAAAGCGTTAGATCAGGTGACAACTGAAGGGTTGCCTGGCACTAAGATGTTGAACCTGGTGATTTGGGGTGATAGGAGTGGATCATTTGGCTAGGTTAACACTAGTTAACGCCTATACATATGAATATTCTAATATGTGAATATTGATTTTACAATAATATCAAACAGAAATGACATTCTATTTCTCCTTAGCTTAACACCTACAGGGGCAATCCAGCTTCCCCCAGAAGACTTTTAATTCTCCTACTCCCCCCAACAACATTAATGTTTTTATTCTATCTGCATTTATCTCTGCAGGTCAGAAGAGGGCGCCAGATCTCACTACAGATGGTTGTGAGCCACCATGTGGTCGCTGGGAATTGAACTGAGGACCTCAGAAGAGCAGCCAGTGCTCTCAGCCTCTGAGCCATCTCTCCAGCCCCTAATTTTTTTTATTAAACCATTACCTTGAACATAATATTTAAATTTAACTACAAAGAATATGGAGTCGCTTTTTTATGAATAAAGTTTGTTCTTTGACTATTTCATGCACGTATATGAGCCAGCCAGTTGGTCATTTGTGAATGAGCCAAATGCTTCCTGTTACTCACTATTATTTTTATTTATTTATTTATTTATTTATTTATTTATTTATTTTTTGGTTTTATGAGACAGGGTTTCTCTGTATTGTTTTGGAGGCTGTCGGTCCAGCCCGGCCTCAAACTCACAGAGATCCGCCTGCCTCTGCCTCCCGAGTGCTGGGATTAAAGGCGTGCGCCACCACCGCCCGGCTACTCACTATTATTACATTGGTTCGTTTAACACACACAGCTGTTGCCTCCTGCTTGTCATACTTTCCTACCTCTGCCCCTCATGTGTCACTGTGAGCGCCAACATTTTACCCCGGGAATATGATGACCTCTCCTTCCCGGAAGCTTCAGACCACATCTGAATGCCATTCTTAGATTTGGCAACTAAATGCCTCTCCCTTTATTTTAGAAAGAAAGAAAAAGAAAATGTGTCTTTTGATCTGTTTCCTCTCTTCTTCGCCAAGGTGTCTTCCTGTTTATTTTGGGAATGGGAATCAACATCCATAGTGACTACCTGCTGCGCCAGCTTAGGAAGCCCGGAGAAATCATCTATAAGATCCCACGAGGTAATGCCTCCCCTGACTCCCACAGCCCCGTTCCTTGTTGGAGCCCGTGCCGGTGATTAACCAAAGGGGAGGGTTGGTGGCAGCACAGCTATGCGGTACACACACTGTGGCTTGCTTCTGTCCTCCCCTGCCCACCCTGTCCCTTCTGCAGAACCCAAGGACTCTCCAAGGCAGCTAGGGCTGAACTCAGCTGGTAGAGCGCTTGCCTAGCATGCATGAAGCCATGGGTTCCATCCCCAGCAGCACTTAATGCAGGCATGGCGGTACAGACCTATGATCCTAGCACTTAGGAGCGGGAGTCAGGGGTTCAAGGTCATTCTTTAGGACATAATGAGTTCAAGGTTGGCCTTGTTACAGGCTCTAAAGCGTGCACACACACACACACTCACACACATACACACTGGGGGGGGGGGAGAGGACCACCTACCCCAGTAGGAAGATCATAGTACCCTCAAGGTGACAGAGGGCACCAGGCTTGGATATAAGTAATGGGGAATAGATTACAGCCCAGGATATAAGCCTGTCATTTATACAGAGTGTGAGCCTTGCGAGAATTCATTGTCACGTGACCATGATAGTGCACTTGCAGCAGCCTGGACGGGGCGGTCTACTGCATACCTAGGTCACAGAGTACAGCCTCTTTTGAAATTTTGAATTTTTTAAAACATTTTTTTTGTTGCTAAAAACTAAGAGTATCAAATACATCTTATCCTAGGCCTACATATGATCATGTTCATCAGTGTCGTGCATTTTACCTTCATGCCCACTGGAAGGTCTCCGGGGAGCAGCATACAGTGTGGGACTGTTTTATGGTTAACTTTTTTTCTAAGTTGAAGAATTATGTTCTAACAATGAGTAGAATAGTAAACATATAAACGAGAGCATGGACAATATAACTATCAGAGATTAAATCCTGTTTACGGTTATATATGCTTAAGTTTATTTTTCAATTTAAGATTTTGCCTGGCACACGCACGCATGTGTGTGCGTGTGTGTGGGTACTTATGCATGCACGTTCGTACCCACGTGAGAGCTAGCATGGATGTCAAGGGTCTCCTCCAATTGTACTTTCGCCTTATTTTGCTGAACCAGTCCTGGCTTGGCACTCCCGGTGGATTCAGCAGGACTCTGGCCACAGAGCCCCAGGCTCCTCCCGTCTCTGCTTTCTCAGCACTGGGGTTGTGGGCGTGTGCCGCTGTGCCTGGCTTTAATGTGAGGACCGGGAGCTCAGGTCCTCAGGCTTGCGTGGTAATGCCGGGGCCTGAGCTTTCAAGTGGTGGGCAGCGGGCTGTGCTTACGCTGCCGTGGCTGTGATGCGCCCCCTCGGGGGTGAATACTGGAGGTCTGTTAGAGTCTCAGTGGCTCTTGACATCATGAGTATGGTCTGCTGCTGACTTGTGACACGCCACTGGGCAGCAGAGATCCAGACACAGAAAAGTTGTAAGTATAGCTGGTGCCAAGAGGCTGGGATTGAGATAAGAACTCAGCCATGAATCAGTCCAGGTGATCAACACAGGGAAGAGGACCGTGGTTCCCGGATGTAAACAGAGCCCTCATTTGCAGTAAAAACGTCCCGGGTTATGACATGATGGTGTAGACTGGCAGCCGCTGACTAATAATGACAAAGATATTGTGATTAGTAATACATTTAAATGAGTAAGTATTATTAATTTCTTGGTGTCTAAAGTCTAAGCTAGACCGTTCATGCATAACTGGACCCTCACAAAGTCAAGGGTGTCATGGGCAGGAAGACAGGGACACAGTGTCGTCCTTAAGAAAAACAATAGTAAAGAGACTTGCTCCGTGTCAGCCATTTCTCTCACGGCTGGGGTAGAATGCTGACCAGAAGCGCTGTTATCACAGGGTCAATGCAGAGTAGACGAGGACACCTTGTGTACTAGGTGCTTTCTTACCATTGACGGCAGGAACACGGGGTTACTTGCTTATATCTCCGTAGCCAGCCAGAAAGCAGAGAACTTGGGCAGGAACCAGGCCGACTATCCCACTCTAACCCACCCCTAACAGCCTCCCACCTGCCAGCAAGGACCCACGGCCAAAAGGGCCCATAGCCTTCTGAACCGGTACCACCAGCTGGGGACAAAGCTTTCACTCAGGACTCTGTGGGCAGCGCTCACATTCCAACCATAGCAACACTTAAAAACTTTGACTTAATGATTAAGAAGTGCCCCAGCTTCCAACTGAGTTTCCAACTGAGTTATGAGAATGAGGGAGGGCGACTTAAAAGCGCATTTTCGTGTGGCTGCAGGAGGAGAAAAGCTGTTTTGGTCACAACTTTCCTAGTTTAGTATGGCTCAGGAAGCTTGAGTGTGGGTCCATTTAATGTCGTTAGGAATGCCTTGGTTTCCAGATGGTCCTGAGAGAGGAGATGCTTGGAGGGTAGAGGTGAAACGCTTTAATGGCAGCAGAGCTTCTCAACCCCAATTGGGTCGAATATTCTCTGCTTTCAACATTAGCAGTGCCAAGTGCAGAGGGTGGGTCATGGAGAACCGAAGGATCAAAAAGAACCAAATCACTTCTCACACCTGCTAAGCTCTTATTTCAATGTAGCGTGTTGTTTCACTGTGTGTGACTGGTGTGTACCCTAATGACTGACCTGGGGACTCGCCAGGGAGAGGCTTGGGAAGGTAAGGAGTGGCCTGAGCACATCCTTTAAAATGGAGCAAGACAAGAAGCAGTCCATCTGCACCTCCTGCTTGTCCTGTTCAAAGTCTAACAGTTGTAAAGAAATCCAGACAATGCCCATCAGCGGATGGGGCCACATCTCAGGGTTCTGGAACATTCTTCAGGCAAGGGGCATTTGTTGCTTTGTTTTCTCTTATTTCTGAGAGGCTTCCTCTAAACTCTGGCTGGAGAAGGGGCCTCCCATCTGTTGACCTTTGCCCTTCTTTGTGCACTTTGGAGGAACACACAGGGTGCAGTGTCACAGAACTTAGATCTGAGTGTGGTTTTCTGCTTCTTTGCACACAGGTGGCTTGTTTAAGTATGTCTCCGGAGCCAACTTCCTGGGCGAGATCACGGAATGGATGGGCTATGCCTTGGCCTCCTGGTCCATCCCAGCCTTTGCGTTTGCATTTTCTTCACTCTGCTTCCTTGGGGTCCAAGCTTTTTACCACCACAGGTAAACTCTTCAGCAGAGGTGTGTCTCTGTTTGGTTTCCTGCCCTGGGAGATTAAAATGCTCTAGCAAAAGCAGCTGAAGGAAGAAAGGGTTAATTTGTCTGACTCTTCCAGGGTCCCTGCAAGGATGTCAAGGTGGTGGGGACTCCGAGCAGGTGGTCGCATCGCGTTCATTCATAGTCGAAAGCAGAGAGCAAATGAATGAAGGGTTAGCTTGTCCTCTCCTTCTCACCGGGGTTCTCAGCCTTCCTAACGCTTTAATGCAGTTCCTCACGCTGTGTGATCCCCAGCCACAAAGTCGTTTTGCTGCTACTTCAGGATTGTAAATTTGTACTGTTATGAATCGTAATGCAAATATCTGCTATGCAGGGTATCTGATGTGTGACCCCCAAAGGGGTCATGACTGGCAGGTCGGGAGCCTCTGCATAAATTTTATACAGTCCCGAGTCCCTCATCTGGGAGTGCTCTAGCCCACGACTGACATGGGGCACAACAGTGAGTTGATCAGGACAACCCCTCACAGACATTTTCTGAGCCTGTCCTTCATACAAACAGTCCCTCACAGACATTTTCTGAGCCTGTCCTTCATACAAACAGTCCCTCACAGACATTTTCTGAGCCTGTCCTTCATACAAACAGTCCCTCACAGGTGTCCCCAGAGGCTTGCCTCCTCCCAGTCAAGGTGACAAATAATAGTGTCACAAGGTTGTAGCAGTCACATAGTACTCAGATTTACAAACACCCCATAATGTTTTCATAAGGGAAATTTGATACAATAATCAAATTGTATGATTACATTCTGACCTCCCGCACTTTTACTGAAGCTGAAGTTGAGTTGGATAATGGTTGCAGCAAACGGAAAAGAAGGAAAGATTTGTAGATAGAGACACCAGCTACCACGCCCACCTCGTTGAGGAGGGTTTCCCACTCGCCTTCCCTGAGGGTGTAGGATATGGTTGATGGGAGAGACTCAGAGACAGTTTCTTCAGTGGTGTAGCCAACGGTAAGGTACCCATGTTCCTAAGAGCAACCCCGATGAAACCCAGTGACTCATAAACAAACAAACAAGGAAAATAGAAGGAGACAGTTGGGAAGAGGAAGGGGATTAGCGGAGGTGGGAGACGACAGGAGAGGGCAATAGAAATGAGTGATCAAAGTGCATTATATATGTATGAAAATGTCATAATGAAGCCTATTATTATGTATAATCAACATATGACAATAAAACCAAAATAAAAAATAGTTTCCCACAGTGGTCCAGGTTCTATGCCGGGTGATGGTTACCACTTGGCTGGAAACTTCAGATAATGGGACAGGAGGTGAAAGAAATGTCCATGCTTCAGTTTAGTTCTGTCCCATCCTATTTCTTGGTGTGTGTTCCATGGATGAGACCATTGCTAGCACATCCCATAGTTTCTTGGAAAGGTAAGGTAAACAGGTGAGCCCCAAGTGCTCCATCTGCTGGTACATGTTGGAACTGCAGGCATTTAGGGTGTTCCTTTGGAAGGTTGGTCTAATCTTTAACCCACCAGGCAAGGGTTGAGTAGGATCAAAGAGGTAACTGGGAAGTAGTGCTGGGGAGGAAAGGGTAATGCATTGCTTACTGCATCATCTGCTTGCCTTAAAGTAGCTTTTGTAGAGAGAGAAAGCCTGGACCCGAGAAGGAACACACGGAGTACAGAACGGGGCTGAGCGCTCCTCAAGTTCTTGCCTTGGTGTCGCCGCCTGGCTAATGGTTTCTTTAATAGTTTTTATTTAGGGTTAAATGAGGTACAAGCTCCCTTCTTCTGAGTGCAGAGCGAGGCCAGTTTGGAAGCAGACAGAGCAGCAGTTTCCCCATGACCTATGCTCATCGCCTCGGGGACTGAAAGGGACAGGGTTACAGGGGTTCGTGGTTTTCGAGAGACAGCACAGCAGCCCTCCCACTTCAGGAGACCCGCTGTCCACGAGAGGCAGTCAGAGAATGGCCGAGGTCAGGGCCTCGCGTGATGCATAGGAGGGTCTTTGAAAAGCACAGACCGCGGAGTCCTTGGTCAGGAATGCCACCAGAAGTTTCCAGCTGGTGCAGCATCAAGTTGAGGCCATCTGGTTATATTCCTCTTGGAAGGAGGGCTGGGGCGTCTCTTTTAATGGGCCCAAGAGGGCTCTGTGAAGGGGCTCCCCGAAGCAAGGGCATTGGCAGGGGAGGCTGAGCACACAGGGTCTTTTCAAATCAAAGGGGGCACTCCGGCACATTGTAATATATATATATATATATATATATATATTTATTTATTTATTTTCTGGTCTTCCAGTTTAAACCCACAGCACTTTAGCAGAGTGTATTCTGTCTTTATTACGCCTCCAGGGCCATTTGTTCCAACTAGTTAAGAGGACAACTTGGTCACACAGGCTTTTCATAAAGATTGTCATAGGAAATGACCCTCAGCTGCATGGGCTTAAACAAGGGAAATCTTTCTCTCTGGAGTTCTGGAGATCAGAGGTTTGGTCCTACGGTATAGGCAGGGACATGCTCTCTGGAATGACTTGGGGAAGAAGTCCCCATGGTGGAGACTATTAGTCTTGGTTTTCCATGGCTGGGGCCTCATTCCTCTCGGCCAGTCTGCCTGTGACCTTGCCATTCTGTGTCTTCTTGTCTCCTTTCAGTTCTGTGGGATTAAGGGTCCACCCTGCACTGGTACGAGCTATTTTAATTAATTACATCTGCAATGACCATAGTTCCAAAATAAGATTGTGTCTTTAGGTGTTGGGAGTTAGGACTTCACCCTGCCTTTCAGGGGGCAAAATTCATAGTAATAGTGGCATAGCAATTCATAGTAATGGTGGCATTCTCAAGCTTCAGGAAGAGATATTTTCCAAAAAATGCTTCCAGCTCTCTGAGGTTAACTTTCTCCACAGCTCTTTGTAGATTTTTTTATTAGCATGTATGTGTTAGACACAATAATGAGCCTTACGGCATCTTCATACATATATAATGTATTTTATCATATTTATTGTTTATTATACTTGATTGTTTCCCTCCTGCTTGTAAACATTTTTATCTTCGTTTTAAAGGTTTTTTTTATTTGCGTGTATTTTGTGTGTGTGCCTGTGTGTGTGTCTGTGTGTATGTCTGCGTGTTTGTATGCATGAGTGCGTGAGTGCATGCGTGCGTGCGTGTGTGCCTAGAAGAGGGCCTCAGGTCCTGGAGCCTCATGAGTTACAGGCAGGGAGCTGTGAGCCACTGGACATGGATGCTGGGAACCAAACTCGGGTTCTCTGGAAGACCAGCAAGTGCTCTTCACTGCTGAGCCATTTTTCTAGCACCATTTATTTACTTTTTATGACCAAGTGAGTCTTACAGAGCTGCTTACAGGATCCTGGGTGAGGGGTTGTTTACGAGAGCCTGGGATCCTTGTAGGTGGCCATACCATGAAAGAGAGCATCTCTCCCTCCCCCAACGATTATTGACTGCTTATGGACCCTCAGGGAGAGGCCAGCCGTGTGAACTCCTTCCTACCAGCTATGATTATCTACACGTATGTCCTAGGGGGAGGGGGCCATGACAGGATATTGGCAGGCTCAATCTTGTGCAGATCTTATACAGGCCTCTCTCAACTGCTGTAGGATTAGAAACACAGTGGTGATGTCATATTCTATGGGCAGGGTGCGACTTCATTTCACTCCTCTCAGCTCTCACGTTCTTCCTGCCCCATCCTCTGTGATGCCCCTTGAGCTGGGAGAGAGTGATCTAGACATTCATTTCATGGCCGAGCACACAGCCATTCTTCATTCTCAGCGCTCTGACTTAGTTACTGCTGCCCACGGCAGAAAGAAGCGAAGCTGACAGTAGCACCACTCTATGGATGTAGACATAATTATGTGAACAGCACTTTGGTGGGCATGTCTTTTCCATTTAGCAAAGTAGCTTCCCCAGTAGGGCCCATGACTTCCCCAGCCATGGGCTTTTGCCCAGGTTTTTAGTCCCAGATGTGGATTTCCTCCCGTGGAGAGGCCTCAGGTCCAATCAGATGGTAGTTGGGTACCCCCTTACTGATTTGCCACTATTTCACCAGTCACCCAAAATTTTTGGGAGGCTCTGGCTTCCTGTAGTTTTTAGCAAGGTGAGCCCAAATGAGAACTTCCCTTCGTCTATTAAAAAAGTGTGGTGACATATATGCTGCATAAAATTTACCACCTTAACAATTTTCAAATGTAAAGTTGAGTGATATCAAGTCCGTTTGTAATATTGTAAAACCATCACCACCACCCTCTGGATATTACTTTGTACTTATCTGCATATAAATTACCAACATTTACAAGAGACAGACTGTAGGAAAGGGGTTGATGATGGGCACATGGTCCCCAGGAATGGTCAGGTGCCAAATGACTGGGTTGACTTGTGCAAACTCAACTGTTGGCCACTACTCTATTGCATTTATAATTATTCCTTCCTTTCTTGTCTTTGTAGGTTCTACCTCAAGATGTTTAAGGACTACCCCAAATCTAGGAGAGCGCTTATTCCATTCATCTTTTAAAGAACCCCAGTTTTAAGGAGCAAAGCTTCTACGGGAAAACCGCCCAGCTGCCGAGACTATCAACTGTAAACTATAACTGAGCTGTCTTGATCACATGTGTACATATGATGATGTGTGTGATATTAGGTCTCTGTACTCTGGTTGCCTGAGGCATGCTGAGTCATGACTGCCTAGCATTTTCTCCTGTACCTAACTTCCTGTTGGAGCTTCATAGAGGCCCCTCCATGGATTTCTCCTTAGCTACTCCTTATAGAAGCTTCTCCATTCCCCATGGGTTTTCCCCCTCATTGTATGATCTGAAGACATGTGACTTTTCTCATACTCTGTATCAATTGTGGGAAGTTCTTCAGTCAAAACCCTTTGGGCTGACATAATGAAAAATGAAGCCATAACGTTTGCAGGCAAGTGGGTAGAACTGGAAATTGTTATATTTAACCCGACTCAGAAAGATAAACATTGCATGTCTTTCTCATATGCGGATCCTAAGTTTTTAATTTATATGTACATATGTATCTGTTTATATGTGTGCGTTGGGGGCATAGAGTTCGTTAAATTAGAACGGAGATCATGAGAAAGGAAAAAGAGGTCTTGGGAGGAGAAAGGGTGTGACAGAATATGTGTGGCGTGAAATCAGAGAGAGGCTGCTGCAGGGAGGAAGGCGGCCAGCAGGAGAAAAGTAGGAGATCAGGGGAGAAGGGAGATAAGAAGGTATGTATGAAAATGCCACAGCGAAACCTATTACTTTGTATGCTGGTTCTGAAAAAAAAAACAGCCAACCAACTAGTCAACCAACCAGAGTGAGGGCAGTGCTTAGAGAGGTAATTAAAAGCATACCTTTTATATGCCCACAGAGTAGCAGGGATTTACATTCTTAAGTGCTGTAGACTCAGAGCACACCTAAATTACTTTGTACCCATCTGCACTTAAATTACCAACATTTACAAGAGACAGACTGAAGGAAAGGGATTGATGATGGGCACATGGTCCCCAGGAGTGGTCAGGTGCCAAACGTTCTTCTCTGGCCCATGTCCAAATGTATAAAAGTATCTTAGTCAACGAACACCGTGCTCTCCAAGGAGGTTTCACAATCCCTATTAGAGCTATTGTTATTTCATCCACAACCCTGGTATGGATTTTCTTGATGGTCAGGCTTTTTTTTTTGAACACAAAGAAATATATATAACTCAGAGTGGCTCCAGAGAGAATAAGGGAATGTGTTACAACAGACACTGTAAACTCATGTTTTTGGTAGCAGATGGGAATATCAAAGATCAGAGACACATCAAGAATGAGAAATTCACGAAGATGATGGTAGGAGATGAGGAGATGTCTACCATGATGTGAGGGATTACAGAAGCCCTGAGCAAGTTTCTTCTGGAGTTTCTTCCTCATGAGCCTCGAGACCTATTTTAGAGAACGTGTCCCAGCAGTAGCTTGAACATCAGTCCTCAAGGGGCCCAATGGCAGAAGCTGAGATTTGCAAGCAACCGTTCATCTGGGCAGAAAACCTGTTTCATTCAGTCCAGACAGGGTTTACACATAGTTTTATCTTCTTTTGTCTTGCATTTCAGGTTTCAAATGGTAAAAATTCGGAGGTTTCTACATAAAATGAAACCTTGGCATTCCTATAAAAAGCTGGAGGGAGAAACACGAGAGACAGGATAATGGAAGGGAATGTGATGGAGAAGTATACACATGTAAGAAAATGAGACACTGAATACATGTTACTGGTTCTCAGCCTTCCTAACGCTGCGACCCCTGAACACAGTTCCTCACGTTGGTTGCCGTGACCCCCAGCCATAAAATTATTTAACTGCTGCTTCATAACTGTAATTTTGCTACTGGTATTAGCCATAATGTAAATATCTGATATGGGACCCCCTGTGAAAGGGTTCTATGACTCCTCCACCCCCCAAGTGGTCGTGACCCACAGGTTGGGAACTGCTGGTGTGTGCTGTTGCTGGAAAGGTCCCAGCATACCGAGCCTGGCTCTCATGTGTGGAGTAGCAAATGAGCTGCTTGAGTGTGCATCCGCTCCTGAAGGGAATCCGCTCCTGAAGGGATGGCTCTCCTGAAGAGGCTGAAGTGTGGGTCCTGTAAAGGAGGGGCTGAGTCCTGTGTGGTTGGATTTGCATCTACTCAGCCCCAAATGCATGGGCTTAACACCGTCCGCAAAGACGCTTGAGGATTGAACACCAGTTTTATCGTGTGGTAGAGAAACCTACTGTAAGCTAATACCTGGGTCGTGAGAGCTATGAAGTAGATATGTAATGGAGATACGATTGTAGTGCTACAAGCAACTGTTCTTGTTCATGAAATGCCGCTCAAGTCATGACCACTACCAACGCTTGAATAAAGAGTCAGGACATCCGGGGCTATTTGCAATGTATTTACTGAGCTGTGGTTTTTTCCCCCCCTTTCCCCCCCTCCCTCTCACTTTTTGGTGTTGCTGGTTTTCTTTCTTGTCTTCTGTCTTCATTTTGTCAACCGAAAATTAGGGGCTATGAACAGGATACAGAGTATGACCGGCAGCTTCTGAGTCCCAGCTGAGAGACCCGGTAGGTACGGTGATGGTGTGGAAGATATGCCGAGGTTAGCCATGCCCATAAGTGCAATGCTACTTGTGCGTGCGCGGGATATACCGTGTGTCCAGGAGCATTCACTGAAACCCTGAACTGGGATAAATCATCTTATAAAGAAAAAAGGGTTATTTTTGGCTCTCAGTCCAGGAATGTTTGGCCCAGGTGCTCTGGGTCTGTGGTAGGCAGCACACTGTGGTGGGAGCATGCGGTGGAACATTCCTGTTTGCCTCTGGGCCAACGAGGGGGCGCAGAAGGGAGGGGAAAGAGACAGAGGCACCAGAGTCCCACTGTCCTCCTTTGAGGGCATGCCTCCCCTCATGGGACCCAAAGCATCCCACTAGGTCCCACCTTCTACAGTTCTCCCGCTATTCCAGGGCTACCAAGCGGAGAACTCGTTGGGGGAATGTTCAGGATGTGAGCTGCACAAGCTTTCATGTGAGTGGTGAATTCACTTGAAATAAAAGATTTCCACACGCTGGGCGGTGGTGGCGCATGCCTTTAATCCCAGCATTCGGGAGGCAGAGGCAGGTGGATCTCTGTGAGTTCGAGGCCAGTCTGGACCGACAGCCTCCAAAACAATACAGAGAAACCCTGTCTCGAAAAACAAAAACAAAAACAAAAAACAAACAAACAAAAAGATTTCCAGGACACCATGTTTGAAAAGCACGTTCCTCAGATCTCTAATTGCAGAGCTGGAGACGTAGCTCAGGAGAGTGCTTGCCTAGGAAGTGTGAGGCCCTGGGTTCCCTGCCCTGCCCTGAGGTCCTACTCACCCCAGGACTCAGTTCAGGCTAGATCAGAAATGCAGTGTCAAAGATACGTAAGACCCTGTATTAAATGTTTTTTAAAAATTGTTTATTCTTTATCTTATTGACATGTGGAAAAAAAATCTAGGGCAATCCAGGAAATGTGGAAAATGCTCAATAAATGACTGCCACATTTGCCTAGGACTCCCACAAAACTACCATTCAGCAACTGCATGCTTTTGCCACAAGAGAGCACTATCTAGAATTTTTTTTCAGGTGAATTTAGTCAATTTACCAATGTGTATGTGCGTTTTTTTAGTCCTACAAAACATTTATATTTCAGCTTAGTTTAATTAACTACAAACCTTCATTTTAAAAAAGGCTTTGAACTTTATTGAGTGAGTGTGGGTGCACACTTTGCGCATTTGGAGGTCAGAGGACAACTTCTGAGAGATAGTTCCTTCCTCCCACCACAGGTTCTGGGCTCTGGGCTCTGGGGTTCAAGCTCTGGTCATCAAGTCTGTGTTGCCACTGAGTTATCTTGCAACCGGATCACAGGCATTCCCCCTCCCACCCCCTTTAAATTTAAATTAGAAACAAGCTTGTTTTACATGTCAATCCCAGTTCCTTCTCTTCTCCTCTCCTGCCCCCCCACCAACTCCCTATCCCATCCCCTTTCTGTTCCCCAGGGAAGGTGAGGTCTTCCATGGGGGATCTTCAAAGTCTGTCAAATCATTTGGAGCTGGGCCTAGATCATCCCCTGTGTGTTTAGGCTGAGAGAGTATCCCTCTATGTGGAATGGGCTCCCAAAGTCCATTTGTGTACTAGGGATGAATACTGATTCACTACCAGAGGTCCCATAGATTAACCAGACCTCCAAACTGACATCTTTGTTCAGGGGGTCTGGAAGAGTCCTATGCTGGTTTCCCAGCTATCAGTCTGGGGTTCATGAGCTCTCCCTTGTTCAGGTTAGCTGTCTCTGTGGGTTTCTCCAGCCTGGTCTTGACCTCTTTGCTCATCACTCCTCCCTCTCTGCAACTGGATTCCAGAGTTCAGCTCAGTGTTTAGCTGTGTGTGTCTGCTTCTGCTTCCATCAGCTACTGGATGAAGGCTCTAGGATGGCATATAAGGTAGTCATCAATCTCATTATTGGAGAAGGACATTTAAGGTAGCCTCTCAACTATTGTTAGTTGGGGTCAATCTTGTAGATCTCTGGACATTTCCCTAGTGCCAGATTTCTCTTTAAAGCTATAATGACTCCCTTTATTATGGTGTCTCTTTTCTTGCTCTCCCCTATTCTTCCCCTGACTCGATCTTCCTGCTCTCTCATGTCCTCTCCCCTTCTCTTCTGCCCTTCTCTTTCTTCTAACTCCGTCTCCCTTCCTCCCATGCTCCCAGTTAGCTCAGGAGATCTTGTCCCTTTTCCCCAATTGGGGGGGGATTTAAATAAGTAATTTGCATCTAATATGAGATCTTCCCTTGACATCTGAGGGATGCTTAGTCATCTAAAGCCATTGTTTTAAACTCAGTGTTCTTTGTTGAAGGCTGGAACACACACACACACACACACACACACGTCTTCATATATGTGGAGATATATGGATATGTATGTTTATACATGCATGTATATGTTAAATACAATAAAATTCTGAATGTGTCCCCATTCCACAGACATATTTCCTATTTCTTCCTACTTTTCCTAAAAACAGAGTGCAACAAAATCAAAATCAGTGGAGGCTCCCTCTGAGTTAACTGCCAAGGTGCAGTTTTCTTGTCCTTGACCAAGAAGCTTTCACCCTGATGGCCCGGAGGAAGTGTGCTTGATTTGATTTTCAGGATGGAGATTTAAAACGTGCAAGTTGACATTAGACATCAGCAGGTCCCCTGCCTTCACCTTATAGACAGAAGCCCTGAGACTTACAGGGGTGAAGTGCTTCCCCAAGTTGCTGAGCTAATCTGAGCATCATTGTGTCCCTTTGAGGGTCAGAAATCTTTTTCTCAGCAGGCTTCCACAAGGGAGACCGCAGTAGAACCTATGGGTCGAACCTACCCACACAGGAATCTCTTATTAAATATTCACTACACAGAAAACCATTAGTGGGTTCTGGAGATTGAAGCCAGAGTCCCCAGTGCAGCGTCCCTGC